ATATATATATATATATATATATATATATATACATATATATACACTAACTGGAGACAATTTTATTTTTAAAAGCAAATAAACAAAACAAAGGCAACTTTAAATTGAAGGATTAGCATTCCTTGATGACGTATACCAGTAGGTTGCTGCTACAGAGATTAAAATAATTTATTCTGTTAAATGGTTGAGGTAGTGCTGTTTTGGTCCAACTTTGAAAATAAAGTTTTTCATGCTCCACACTTTCAGACTATGTGTTGTGAAAGAACTTTAGCTAGTAGTACCACATCAAATTGTAGCTCCAAATCTGTAAAACTGAACAAATATTGCTGTTTTGTTGTTTTCTTTATCTGAATTGAATTTATTTTTGCACTGCAAATTGAGTTGACTTTTTAAATTAGTGCTTTATCATTAAACTGAATTATAATAAATTATAACGTGTACACTACCGTTTTGGCACTATAAAAATGCCACTGTTTACTAATGTGGTGTTCAATTTATTTGTACAGAATTCAGCACTTTTAAATGCTCAAATTATAAGAGATTACTTAAAATATCTTAGTTCAAGCAGCTTTTTTATTATTTTTTTTTCATTTTACTCATATAAAAGATGTTACAGAAGAACAAATGGAATATTTAGGCTAAATCCCCATCGCTTCCTATTCAGTTAGATCATTTTATGTGTCTCATATTGCCTAAAATCAAGTTTAAAATGGAGTGTTCTTAATTTGCATTGCATTATGATGCATATATTGAAAGAAATGTGCGCATGTATGAAACCTCTGTGGTAATTAGTCTATTAGTCTATTTACAAGTCTGACCCCTAATAAATGTTAGGAGGAAACATTTGTGAATTCCTAAACACACAAACATAGAAAGTAATTAATGAACAAAACACCCTTAAAGTACACTCAGTCAGTGCACACGCTTTACAGAAAACGATGAATACAAAGCAGCATTTTTTTTCTCACAGATTTATATGTTTGAGCAAAACAGCATAGCTTTGCATTTTAATAGACAGTTGACCATGTTTTGCTAGTAGATTTTAGCTGTTTAGACTGAATTTTAATGCAATATGTCAGGGTAAATGAGAGTATTCAGTTATTTATGATTCCTCTTGGTGATTCAGACAGTTTTATTATGCCACAGTGTTATATTTCATCATTTGTTCAGGCTTTTCAATGAAACTGAACTCTTTCTTAGCGTCTTTAATCACTGGCAGAGGTGATAGCAAATAAATTTGCTGGAACTGTAGACATGCAGCTGCAATATTCTTGTTGAGGAGATATTTAAAAAGAGACGGCGTCTTTTCAAACTTACGGGTAGATTTGTCCCTGTCCTGCTGTTGCCTCAAGGCATAAAATGTTTTATTAACAACCTCTTAATTGTTCTTGAAATGCAAAAGAAAGACATGAATATATCAACACCATTTGAAAATTGGTAAAAAAAAAAATTTAAACTTTCAAAGAATGACTGAAATAATTTTAAAGAACTCGTATATTATATTTCCCTTTGCTGTCTGTCTTTATCAGGGTTGTTGTCCTGATGCTGATTTAAATGAACACCAGATCACTGTTCAGGGTTAACTTCTATCTTGAATTGCCTTTGTATGCTTTTTGTCAACCTCACAGTGTTTGCCAATTTTAACAAATGTGCGGTTTGTCATCTTAGTAAGCACAAATATTAAGTGGAGAGCTGCCTGCCCAATCGTTGTTTAGAATAACATCCAACACACATGCACATCCCCAGTTCCCATCAGTGGTCTGTGCTGTTAAAGCAGCCCGAGTTGGTTGGTTGCTAAAGACCCCCCGCTGTTTCTGAAGCCTGGGACCCAGACATTCGCAACGAGAGTTTGCTACTTGGAACGAGGGAGAAATACAGACAGAGGTCAGAAAGAGAATAGCGAGGGAGCCCAGACCACGAGGCTGGGAAGAGTTGATCAATACAGCTCGTCACATGCTGTTTTAGCCTTGAAATGGTTCCCTTCAGCCTGGTGGTGATTGATTTTTGGCTGATGTGTCCACAGCTAATATAAAAGGTAGCGTGTCATTTTGTGGCCAAAAAAATAATGAATATTTTTGCTACTTTGTACTTTTTTATTTTATTTTGCTTGTCATATTGTGTACATAAGCTCAGTGTTTAAAGTTGGTAAAGCTGAACTGAGTGACACTGCATTTAACCAATGGAGATTAGATAGAAACCAGTTAAACGTCACCAGTTACCTGCAGATATTGGTGAATACAAACATCAACAAAGTTCAGCGATCTCTAGCAATTTCTTCTGCTCAATAGTTCTAACAGAATTAAATTGTTCTCCTCAATGCACTCTTTTTCACTAAAAAGTGAACCATCTACAGTAAATCAAAGCATTTATTATTATATTTCTTTTCAGTAAAATAAATCCCACTACTCAGACTTAATGAATATGCTGCTAATAATACAAATAACATTTAAAATGTCTTGTTTTTAGGATTCAGATGACACAGTTTGTGGTTTTGTTTCAAACAAGCTGTCACGTTCACTGCTTGTGTGTTTCTGATTAGACACTCGGTAAATAAACTAAACACAAACATATTTGTACATTATTGCTAGTGAAAAATACATTTCCATCACATTCTGTTCATCTTTTATTATCTCTTGATATTTTCTTTCCTCCATCCTGTAACATTTATCTTTGCCATGTTTATTTTTCTCTCCATGCTTTTGAGTTTTGTTCCTGTAACCTCACTCAATTCCAAGAGGATTTGTGAAGCAAATGAAGATTCAGCCTTTTTTTAGTGTTTTTCTTTCTTCATTGTTCTGTTTCTAACTACGGTGGCCCTGAGGTGAACAACATTTGAAAAAAATGGAGTTTGATTTCAAAAAACAAAATTACATTGGAAAAAACAAAACAGAAACGCAACAGCATTGGAAAAAAACGGAATTACATTAAGCCAAAGCGAAAGTAACCAAAGCGGAAGTGGTGAAAAAAATGGCATTACATTAGGGAGAAAAAAAAAACGGACTTACATTAAGTCAAAGTGGAAGTGGCCAAAGCGGAAGTAGCCAAAGTGGAAGTGGTGAAAACCAAAATTACATTAAGCCAAACCGGGGGTGACAGATATTTTAGAGTAACGGGGTGGACAGTTGACTCTGGGACTCGATTTATTTTGAATAATTTAAGCATAACATTTTTTTTTGACATCATAAAAAGTCATTGGATAAGAACTATTATAAATAGTACTATTAAAAATTACTTTTTAAAATTTTTACTTAGAATTTTAACTTTATTTCAGGAAGCGTGAAAGGGGACATGGCAGTAAACCCAAGTAGCATTTAAAATTGGATTTAATTATTTTAAATAAATTAATATTGTGTACATATGGATGTATTTTATGATTGAGGTACATTGAACATATAAGATGAGCTTAATTAAATAAATATTAGCCCACCTTTAAACAAAATATACCACATTATGACATGGGGACTCAAAAGGCACCGAATAGTAGGAATGACTATACTGTACATTGTTCTGTTTTATGTTGTTAATAAAATAAAAAAATAAAATAAAAAAATTTAAAAAACACGACTTATCCATCCCGTTCGGCTTAATGTACCGTAATGTCATTTAAAAAAATTAATTAATTATTTTTTTAATATATTTCCGTTTTTTCTAATGTAATTCCATCTTTTCAAATGTTGTTCATTTCCACCTCAGGGCCACCGTATCCAACTCTCAAACCATTGTCA